GGGGGGGGTTAGAGAATCGAGGCACGCTACCTGGACTGGAGGAAAGCATTCGACTCGGTTTACCATCGCTTCCTCCTACACAAGTTGGAGCGTCTAAGGGTTGCTCCGGGGTGTGTAGACTGGTTAGGAGCATACCTGCGAAATAGGACGTTCCACGTGGGAGTGGAAGATGGAATATCAGTGCCTCTTAAGGCATACAGTGGAATCCCCTAGGGATCGGTACTTAGACCCGAGCATCAGCGATAAGGTTCGTGACCTGCACTATCCGGTATACTTGTTCGCCGATGACATTAAATTCGTGGGCCGGCCAGCTTAGCCGCTACTGCAAGAGGATTTCAACATGATCCCCGAGTGGACGGTTCAGTGGGAACTCCTACTGAACTTAAGCAAGTGCAGGCAGTTACTGTCAACTGGCATTACTAGCGGGAGCCGGAGTTCGAACCGGGGAAGCCCTCGACCTTTAACGAATAACGAGGGTATGAAGGACTTGGGAATATTCACAGACGAGTCTTTCAAACCGATTCCTCAATGTTTGGCAGTTGCAATTAAAGGTAATAGGGCACCTAAACAACTCTCGCGAGGCAAACTCGATGGTTCCCCTGTATAAGATCCCTGTGAGGCCACATCCAGAGTACTGCTTTCAGGCCTGGGGGCTGTCGTCGATGAAACAGATAAAGATCCTGTAGACGTTTCAAAGAAGGTTCACGACGCCCATAGAGGACATGAGGTATCTGGATTATGTCGAAAGGCTAACGATGTTAAACCCGTTCTCTCTCAAGAGAAAAAATATGCTAGGGGACCTCAGGGAGGATTTCAGGCAGCTGACTGGCAAAAATCCATAAATTTTATCAGTTTGAGGTTCAGCCCAGGACTACCTCTGAATAGTGGTAGTAAGAGAACGGTGTTAAAATCTACGATAACCGACTAACCTTCACGATGAAGTTCCGGACGAATGCAAACCCTTGAAATGCTCTTTTGAATCTCAGTTGTCAGACTCACTGGATTCTTCAAACTTGAAAAACAACGTATTTTTGATCGAAAACGAATATATTTTAGTTCCATTACCAACCAGGTTCAACAAAATTTAATTCGAAAATTACATACTGGATATCATAAAGTACAAAAAACAATTTCTCTCTTTCGAAGTTTCACAATTTCTCAGGTAGATAAGTGTTCATTCAATCGAACTTGGTTACTCACGAGTAGAACGCAGGGTCACACTTGGCCACGGTCCACATCCACCTATTCCTTTCCGAATCACCACTGTATTTTATGTCTATTGCTACCAAGAATTGCAAAATCTTTTGATCCCAAATATGTTCTCCAAAAGGCCATAGGTTTTATTGTGAATGGGTATCGACAATATCGTAGTTACGGAATGCATCACAATCACGCTACGCCGCAGTTGATTCAAGTAGATTGAAATTGCAAGGTAAGGCAAGCACGCAATCGCAAAGGTGAAGAACTTTTAACTGACGACAACTGGAACCTGTTGTCACTCTGACAGACAGATTATATTCATCACTATGTGGAATAAATATTTGACCTGTGTTACCCAAGTAGAGAAAGTTGCCCGTATATGATAAAAAATCTTTTAGCGAAAGCAGTTATGTTGGGCTATGTCAATCAATCAATCAATCAATCAATCAATCAATCAATCAATCAATCAATCAATCAATCCATCAATCAATCAATCAATCAATCAATCAATCGATCGATCGATCAGTCAATCAGTCAGCCAGCCAGTCAATCAATCAGTAAGATCTGAGCACCAATCGTCCAAAAACTCGAATGTAATCAAATGGTTCCTGAATGGAGTTAACTTCCTTGGTCAAGAATAAAACAAGAGTTTTAACGTGTACGATTGAATTCAACACTTCTAGCGACTTAATAGTTCTTGCTCGTTAAACTGGGCTTTAAAAGTTTATTGAGTAAGTGGATCCACAAAGTTGCAGTGAAAAAAACTAATCGATAAAAATCTTTCTTTTGTTCAAATTTTCAACTCTGTATTTATTAAGAAGCATAAAAACATGCAAAAATTGTGCTTAGCATAATCTAAACAGGTTGAAAATGAGAAAAGCTATCGTGGTTTTTCACATTCTCAGGAATCTCGGTCACGTGAGGGCGTGAGTCGGACTGTCTGAGAATGGAGAATACCAGCTAGACCGAATTAGGGTGCTGTGAGCCGGCAGATGGAACGAATTGGTATAGATCTGGGCGTAGCGGAACCCGAAGGACAACTAAGTGACTTTTTGAACCGGAGATAAAGCGGGGGTGGGTGGGTGGAAATAACCAAGAAGTCCAACGTGGCTTCTATTTTTACACAGGTCTAGTAAATTAGGAAGAAGCGAACACTGGACATACACAATATTTAGTCACGCGAATAGGTGACGGAACACTTTTAAACAGTTGCCATTTTATTCACATAGACGGGGATCGATTTATGTAATTCTCTCTCCCTCACTCGTTGCGCAATGACAGTAATTCACAAATGAAATGGATATTGACCAACAAACGAATTGGCGGATAAAGGATGGGCAGACAGACAGACAGACAGACAGACAAACAGACAGGTAAACAAATAAACACTCTTGGACACGTTTTTAATTACATGCATTTAATCGGGAGCATACTACAGATGACATACGAGCAACCGTGCACGTATCAAGGCTCGATAATTTAGTTCCTCCTCGATCATGCAATTATTTATAATAGTCGATAATAATAGCACAAACATACAGTTACTCGAAAACAAACGAATGCATACGTGCAGATGCACACTTACACACAGGAACACAAAAACACTTTGTGGCCCTTTTAACAAGCGTGGCTTATTAACAGGGTGCTTGTACTGATCGGGGTTATTGACTAATTACGGTTTATTCTGCTGTGAAACAGTTTGTCCCCCCCCCCACAGATCGAGTAAAAAGACGTCTTTTGAAACTGGTCTTGTGCTGATACAGACTTCGTATGCATATTGTGTGTGTGCGTGCGTGTGTGTATGTATGTATGTATGTACACGTGTGTTCGCATACAGACACACGTTTTAATGAATCTATGAGTGTATACCGGGGGATCGATACGAATGTACACAAACAGACAAGCTCACTTACTCGAGAGACAGATGATCAAGGCAAATGGGGGAATGACTGCTATGTACATGTTCATCGGGATATTTGTAAACGGGACCGGATTGGGGGTGGGAGCGAGGGAAAGGGATCAAACGAGTTAGACAACATTGTCACAGCAATGATCATCCAGTTGGCGTGCAATTGCATTGTTGCACAGTTAGTCTTACATTCGAAAAATCTCACGTATACACATGCATCAATCCAAAATTCCAGCCCATAGCATACGTATCTGGGACTCTTGATACAAGTGAAGTTGATTCATGGGAACAATTCCACCGATAACTTGACACCGGATGCAATTGAAATTGAGCTTACGAGTCACGTGAAACCTTTCGTCTTTCTGTTTTGACCAAAACTCGATTTTGCAACAGGTTTGTGACTCCCAAATGAGTAGCATTCACATTCGACAAACAAGTTCACAATGTGAGGGATACAGAAACTGGTGACCGTGGAGGCGAGGTGACTGGGAGATCATTTTTCAAGTGGATTACACGGGTTACACGATTAACATGAATAAAATTGGCGTTTTTAAAATGTGTTTGTGTGTCTGTTGTCGTTAATGATGTGCGTGTTGTTATTATAGTTTTTGCTGTAAATGTTTTGTGTAACTGTAACGATGTGAAAAATGGTAAACTTTGATGGAAAAAGAGGCAGAAACACAATGGGAAAACGAAAATTGACCGCATCTGACAGAGATGATGATTCGAAAGGCAACTTTGAAAAACGTGGTTTGATTAGTAAAAGATCAAGTATAGATATAACTCATTATACTATACTATACGTTTCATTCTCCTCCTTCGTGTTCTCATCTATCTATCTGGAATTATACAATACTTCGAACTACGCTTTCGTCGTCCTACGTGTATGCCGATTTAGCAGTATATTATTATTTACTAATAGTAATACCAGTAATAAAAACAACAACAACAACAACAACAAAACTCCGTGTTTGCTTTCTTTCCAGTACTGTTGCATTAAAAGAGAATAAGATGGACAGGGATGAGTGGTGATGAGAGGTCGAAAAGTGTGGTCCGGGGAGTGGGGGCGGGCAGAGACGACGGGAGGGAGGTAGTAGAATGGAACATCGATGGAATAGTAAAGAAAACCAAACAATCCCAAACGGGTACAGAAGAGAGAAACGGAACAAGAGCAAAATTGGCTCGGTGAGGATGATTGGCGATACTCTTTGGTATAGTCGCTCTTGTTCTTCAATCAACCGGATGCATTGGTATCTGAACAATACCGCATAGTTTTACAACGACCAATGAGGTCAATATGAATGTAAGACAGAATAAGCGTGGCGAGTAGGAAGGAGACCAGAGTGATAATTGGGTGTCAGCTGATCGAAAAACACGTCAAAAGATGTAGTTCCGCATGTCTAATGTCCATATCACTTCTGTACACCCTTATTATACAAGAGATCATCACCATCATCATCATCATCACTCACTGCTCGGAATCAAAATCGTCACCACAATTATATCATCCACATTCAAATCATACAGGACACCGGAGAGGCTAGAAAGGATCGATGCTGTTAAATGCGAGTTCGTACGATCGATTGTGTCACATTTATCACAATCGATAATGGCTCGAATAATTCATTTGTGTTACTATCATTTTGTTTTACGTGTGTG